ATGACAATAGATTTTCCGTAGACGGCTAACTGTACACAAAATATAATTGAATGTCCGATGACAGGTTTTCTATTGACGGCACTCAAATAAACCATAGAATCAATAAAGTAAAAGGTAAATAAAACCGATATTCCGATCTATGTTAGTCCGAATTCCCGATCGGTAAATGTCGGAGGGTTCTTCCTAGCAAGAGTCCCATATGGTTTTTCTTAATACCAGAAACTTCGGCATTCTACCGCTATATGGAACTATAGTAATACTGCATCTCATTTAACAATAAAAATTTACCCCTTTAACCTTAAAATTTTTAGAATTAAATTACATGATTTGATTGGTTAATCAACAAAATTATGTGCCCTTAAAGCGCGCAGTAAAAAAATCTGTGCAAATCATTTATTTAATAATACCGTATAAGGTGAAAATCATTTTTTAAATATAAGAATAAGGTCAAACCTTATTCAAAATAGAAAATTTTAAGAAATAGGCTTTGCAATACAGGAAATAGATTTTGGAGATAGACTTGCTAGATGATAAATTCAGAACTTAATAGGCTACTGCGGTCCATTAGTAATATGTTGAATAATTCCTAGCCTAAATTTTTGTTTTCAAATTGAGATTTGAAGATTTGTCGTGATAATTTGGTGCAGCACCTAGAAAGTTCAAATAGAATCGAATGCCATATCTCTTTATTTCAATTACAAGATCTCAGCTCGTCAAATTACCTTGTATATCTTTTTTAAATTAACTTTTTTTGGATTATATTCAGGGTTGGCACATTTGTCCATTAGTATGAATGGACCCAAAGTCCATTGACCGGTTCCATTGGTTCAATTGGACGGTCACTATTCCAATGGAAAAGTAGGTAAAATATTTATATAGCTTTTATAAATGACATTACTGCATTATCGTTATTAACTCTAATTATTACACAAAAAGTTGCGATACATTCTTATTTAAGAAAAGAGAAAAGTTATAAAAGGGCAAAATGTCGAGCGATATAGTTTTTAATAAAATTAATAATAATAAACAAGAGTACAAAAAAAACAAACCAAGATGTTAGAAAATAAATCCACCCCAAAAACTGAGTTAGACCTTGAATTTCAACCGACGTTAATAGAGGATACAAATATAATATCCACAAAAAATATCAATGATAAGGAAGCTCAAACAGTTGAAAATGATAGCATATTACATGGAGTTGAATTATTTTTGGTTACTTTTGGGTTCGTAGTTATAAATTCTCCCACATACTCAGGCTATCTGTCAACAAGCTGTATTAATTTAGCTTTATTTTATTTATTTATTTATTTTTTTACAATAGTTTATGTTGTGCTGTATTTTTAGCCGCATTAGATCAAACAATCGTTTCTACCGCTTTACCTGCAATAATTTCCGATTTTAATGGGTTGAGTCAAATAGCATGGGTCGCAACT